AAAAAAACGACAGATACTAACTGGTATTGGGTTCTGGCGAATCGCTGGGGAAGAATTCTCTGGTCGCACTGGCGGCGGTCGATCGGAAGGCACCAGGCGTCAGCGGCATCAATTGCGGTAACGTCGGACTTGGTTGGTCCTTAACGCTCACCTCGCTCAGCCTCTGTGCCGTCAGGGCGGTCGGCGTAGCTGGCGGACTACTGTTGCCGCTCGATACCTGATGGGTGTTGTCCTCGTCCGAGTCGCTCTTGTAGACCTGTGTTTGATTCGCGTCAGTCGCATGACTAGGTGAGCCCGATTGACTGTCTACGGACGGCGCCGGTGACAGCGTCACCGAGTTGGCCGACATCAGCGAGGCGAGACTCGAGGCGTACGGCGGCGCTTCCGTCCACGTGGGCGTAGGCGGATGCGAGTGTGGACTCAGCGGATACGTGGACGGTCTGGTCGGTGTCACCGGACTGCTCGGCAGGCATCGCTGCAGCTGACCGTAATCGCGCACCATCATGGTCAGCACATTGTGCAGCACGTCACCAGTGCCAGGACATCTTTCGCCCATATCGGCCTTGGTCAGCAGGCACAGAGCCTTGCCATTCATCTGGAACGCCTCCATGTCGAAGGGTGGCACATCGAATTCCCGTTCGGCCCACCGCAGGAACGCTACCACGTCCTCCCGCGACCACAATCTAGGGTCGGACACTGAAAGCAGGGAAGAGACGCTGTTACAACGTGACAGTCTTTGTGATTCTGACATCATCTACATGTTTATAATTATACAATTCGCTTCCTTTATATCAATATTAATATGAATAATACGAATTAATTTAGAAACAACAAAAGTAATTAAAGTGTAATAATAGAAATATTTTTTAACTGTGGTTTTTTTTTTTTTTTTAACAAGGAAGTCTTTCTTAATTTGATAATGCTTACTCAAATTCGTCGGTAGATGAGTTTTGAAGTCCAAAAGAGGACTGGGCGGCGGATGTGTCGTAGGCGGGAAGCCCATCGAGGGCCCATACTGGGCCCGCCAGAACAAGTCCGGACTGAAAGGCAAAGATATACTCGCGGGCAGCCGAGACTCCATTCCGGTCATTCCGCCCGCGGCGGAAACCGGTGGTAGCTGCGGCGATATCTGAATCGGTGGCAGTAATTTCATAACACGCTCTCAGATCTACCGATGGCTTCTGCAACAGAAGAGATAAATAGATCAAATTTATTAACATGTCTGATTTTTTTCTCTTAAATCTAATTCGTGATAAAATAGCTAGATTACACACACACACACACACACACACACACAAATGTAAGCTAATTCGTATCGTCTGTCGCGCAAGATATATATTCGCATAAAATAAATATATTTTCATGACTTAATAACTGAATATTCTAGCACTATCTCGGTATTATTCCTGGCCTCGGGGAATTATTTTATTATTAATTTTATTATATTTAAATCTTACATGCAACGTTCGATCTGATTACGGCAAACGCGTAACACGAAACGACGTCGGCGTCATTTTGATGCTACAGGCGCACGAAAATGATCTCTATATTTATTTGCGACCATGGAGACGCGACACTGACGTAAAGTGCAATCTTCCGTATCTATACCGTCGAAAATCGATCCCTGATATATAACGCTTTGCCTCGGCTAACGATCGGCTCGCCGATGTAGAACGACGGAAGATAATAGCGCCGGGTTGCAGTTACACGTCAGCTTCTTACAACGTGGACGAGAGACGAGTGAGGTCATATGAAAGAGGAAATGTGGAGAGAGAGGGAGAGAGAGAGAGAGAGAGAGAGAGAAGAGAGAGAGGAAGAGCGTCGCGACGACGGCGTTTCAAGGCGTCGTCATTCTCCATTTCCTGATCGGCGATCGGTTCGCAGACGTTCGGCTATTAGCATAGAATGTGGGGGCATAAGAATGAAAGCCGGCAGGAAACGCGGATTTACATAACGTATTTCCATCGACGTCGACGAAGCTATTTCCGTTCTCGACGTCGGCTCGCGGAGACCCGAGACTGGCTAAGCGAAACTTATAGCGCATGGCCAATGTCTCTCTCTCTCTCTCTCTCTCCCTCAGTTTCGGCCCCGAAGCGAGTTACGTTGTTCATTTCGAAATCTCTCCACTTAATTGCTTCCAGAAAGCTTAGACTTCCTTTAATTGCCATCGCTCACATAACGTTGTCGCTGACAGAGAGAAGCTGACTGGAGGCTCGTAGTTTTAAGTAGAAACAGTTCTCGAGATCAGAGGGCCCGTCATCAAAATTCAAACCGAATCTCTTCGTGAAGTTTATATCAGTTGTACTATAAAATAAGAGCCACACATATCTTGCGGTCTTGCAGAATAGTATCAGCGGAAGAGACTTCGCAACAGCAGTATTGTTACATTAGGACGTAAACAAGAAGAAGCTAATTGGGAAGGTGGTACAAAGCGATGTAGCTTCCTCATCTCGATAATGACACCGTTTGCATTGTAATCATACGTTTGCAATCCTCGTACCTGATCAGATGTAATTATTAACGTATCGGTGCGCGCGATTACATTTTAATACCGCGACACGTTGTGTAGCAGCTTACACTTGGACTCGTGACATTGTAACACAAGAAATAACGATTACGATGTGATTTAATGTGTCTCGTAATAAGCAGTCTTACGATTGGAAAAAGGTCTATTGACGTCACTGCGCGTTCGATATTATCGAGGCTACATAAAATTATATGTAAACCGCCATTGTATTATGGCACTGTTATATCGCTTTATATATTTAATGTCATCGCTGTTTGAAATATTTCGCAATAACCAGCAACTCCACTTGGGAAAAAGAAATGCTACATGTACATAGACGCAGAATGCTTCTATAATCACTCTGTCTGTTTTAACTTTTACGGTACTCATTACATCGGCTAGTGTGCCGTAAGTAAAAATAAACGCGCGAGTAAAATTAATTTTAAAATCTCTTTAAGAGAATAAAAAAGGTGGTTCACGTCGCCATTTGGTTTCTTTTTCGTTCGGGATTCGGTGACCGGCATATTTCCAACAAAAACCTCTTCTTCGTGACACTTTGAAAAATAATCGGAGGAAGCTCTCTGCGGCACAATTGCGGCGCAATGCTCGCTCGAGGAGAGAAAAAGAGAGAGAAAGAGAGAGGATTGCCCTGAGGGAAGAAGGCAGGAACCTCGGCATGCGAAGGTCGATGTGCCGTTGTCTCGCACCAGGAAATCCTGGTCGTCTCTTCGGTCTCCCCTCCTCTCTCCTTTAAATACCGCGAGTAAGCGAGCGGCCTTATACTTAGGTGCTCCTTTCGGCCGCCGATTTTTTTGCATCTTGGCTAATTAAAGCGGCTACTTGAAGCGGCGTCGAGGGATGAATTTCAGGATCGTGTTCGCGTGAATTCGCATTGCACCTGCCTCGTGACGCTGCTTCTGCGTGCTTCTTGGCGGCCAGCGCTCCAAATTTCTCGCAAAGATGCCTCCAACATTTTTTGCAAGCAATTAACCTCGACTGGACTTCATTTCAATAAGAACACAGCGTGGATTTAACTATCAAATTATTTAATATCGTAAAGGAGTAAAAAAGATTTACGAGAGAGATGAAAGATTCACGAATATGGAAAAAAAAATTTTTTTTCAAAGATCAGTTTCCAAACTTTGATAACCGCATATGTCTCGATCGAGACGACTTGAATGCTGATGATTGGAACGTGTTCTCGAGAGATGGAAGGAGTGATAATTGTTCGAGGCGCATTCTTTCCTCGAACGCGAGGAAGGAAATAAGAAAATTCACCGGATTCTGCGGTTTCGTTCGCGTGTTTCTCTCGTAAACATTCTTTTTTTTTCGGCGACGAAAGAAAGGAGAACCGATCGTTCCGCGAACGGCGGCGGAAACGAAAAATTGCAACCGCGGCGTCGCTCGCGACTTCCGGTACGCGATCGAAGGACGGAGAACGCACCGGAAGCGCGTTTCAATCGCGACGAGGTAACGTTGACATTTCCGCGTTGCCTATTTCTTCGAGCCACGTCACGTGACGTTTGCGTAATCTATGTTTAGATTCTCGAAGATCCCTGAGAAGCTGAAGAATTTCTTCTTCATTTTTAACATGAGTATCGATTATTACGCCTTTTTACGAATTTTAATGTAATACGAATTTTAATTACATAACGCAAACGTATGCTTCAAACAAAATATAAACGTATTTAAAAAGCATGTCTCAACAACGTGATTCTAATTTTAATTACAACTTAATTGAATCTTTCGTCATTTTTATTATAACTGTCGATAGAAATAAAAGGATAGATCGAATCAATCCATGAAACATATATATGTACTCTTCTTTCTTGTCTCTTCTTCAGTTTTATGTTTTTTCTCTCTTCTTAAGTTTTTCCTTTTCCTTTTCATCTCGTGATTTCCTCTCTTCTTTGTTCAACTCAATGAAGTTTCCGTCACGTGGAGAACCTGACCTTGATTATGCCATCTTATTTACGATCGATCTTGCAATTTAACGACCGGGGCAAAAAAGCTCTTGACCGATCATTGTTGCAAATGTGTTTACGTTGTCGCGTGTCGAGTAGTAAGTAACTGTCATTCGCCACCATGCCGTCGCGACAGCCACGTGTTTCGCGATGCCGACACGTAAGCGTTACCGGAAGCGAACCTTAATTTGCCCGGTGTCGCGGAAGGCGTGAATTGCCCATGTAAATGAATAGATTAAGGTCGGAATATTCATGCGGACGCATGTCCTAAAGTGTGGGCATTATTAAAGTACATCTCGTCGTTAGCGTTAAACGCCTCGTTACGTCGACGTGAGGATAAGCATAATAAATAATATACGGACGTTCAATAATTTCATCATTACGATAAAGCGTCGCATAATATTATTCAATTAAGGAAATATTACGTACAGCCGCGAGATTAAATGATAGAGTGGAGTCCGAACGCCTCGGCGAAATGCATCTTACATCACGCTACCGTCTCAAACGACGCATCCAGACTCCCGGACTTTTGATGTCATTCGCGATTCATCTCCCGCGTCTTTGAATCACCGGCCTTCCCCCCTTCCCCCTCCCGCGATGAAGTGCAATGATTGTATTTAAATCGAACCGTTCGCGAGTTGAAATGCATAAGGCGACACCACGTGCTCCTCATGCAGAACGCTGCAATCTGCGCGTAGTGCGCGAAAAACACTCGTCGGCGAAAAACACGTTCGTGCGTTAAAACGTAAAATGTTTTCTCCTCCCCGGGCGACAATTTAATTCCCGTCAGTCAAATCACGACGCGCCTCGGGACCGTAATCGGTAAAGGATCCGTGATTAGACCTCGTCACATCTAGCCTGTCCTATCAATTTCATCATCCTGTAAGACGTCGTTACGTCTACGTCTACGTCTACGTCGTCGTCGTTGTCGCCGTCGTTATTGTCTTTCTTCGTCGATCGCTGCGGTCCCCTTAATGTCAGAGGTTCATTATGCCTTATTCATATCGGCCCGCTGGCACGTACACACGAACGACCGGTTGCGTAACCCGCGTATGAGGAAACGACGACGACATGTGCGATTTGTTAAGTTAACACGCACACATATATACACACACATGCATCGCACTCATACATTCGTCCGCGATATCGCCCAACTCGGTACCATTGTTGCGCGATCCAAAACGAGTCTTCGACGATGACGACGGCTCTCTCGGTGCATATACTCCTACGTGATACGAAATCTTGGGCTGCGAGAGCGAATGATAAGCGATAAATCGTGCACGAGTAGAATTGTACGCGTAGAAGATTCGAATGTACAACAGGCGATATAGGTACACGGTGAATAATACGTGTATTTATATGACACACGGTCGATTACCAATAATAAATTAATATAATAAGTTTTTTTACACTCGGCTACACAAAACATTTATCAAGAATATGTATCTAACTCGCATCTCTCATATCCGCTCGCCGAGGTAATTAATTTCTTGCGAAATAGAAGTCACAGAAAAAGATACGATTGGCATAAGATACACGCAAAAAAAAACATTAATGGGCCAATTAGAATCTTCAAGGATCGATGCGGCGATGAGTACGAAAGGCGCCGGGTAACTTTTAAACAATATATGCCGTCTGCGAGCGAGGAACGAGCCCGATGATCGAGCGCGATCTCGCAAGAAATTACGGTCCGAGCGGTGTAAACCACTTC